CTGGCACAGGGATCGTGTAGATTGCCGAGACAGTGGTGGTTCAGATGCCTTGGTCCATGCCTGCGAACCCTTTAACGTTGACCAGAGCCAGATGCAAAGGCGAAGCTTGATGCATCTCTGATCTGTTCTGGGTGCTGTATCTGATCTTTATCGATTGTCGATACCAGACCTGAGCTGCCATTAGTTCCAGCTCCTACTGTAGCTTCCAGACTCCAGGCCTTCAGAAGGGGCCCCCAGCAGATTTTAGGTTGTGCCGTCCCGCTAAGCATCAGCCCAGTACAGCAGCTACTCCAGCGCCAGAGCCCCCGAACCCCCGTTACCTCCACCGACCGCCCCTGTATCTCGCGGGCGGTTTTCAGTGCGGAAGGTACCTCGACGGGAGCACGGCGCACCCCGTAGCCGGTCTGCCCTTATGACACTTCACATGTACGTACAGTACCTAAGGTACCTGGGAGGTACCTCGATGCAGCCACGCGCTGGCCTTGCATCTCGGCCAAGTGTCCCGACCGCTTCCAGTTGTCCAGATGTCAAAACCTCGATTCTGCAACCCTCACCGACGAGCCTGCAACCTCCTCTCCAGCTTTTGCCACCTGCATCGCCAGCCTCGCCCGATTGCGCCGCCCCGTGCCAGCGCGTCACTCCTCGCCGTCACCGTTTCGGCATCTCTCTACATTTCTCGGTCAATATAGAGGCTGTTCTGCTGCTCCAGCATCGCCAGACTGACTAACCGCCTCGCTGCCATCCCCGTTGGTGTTGAGTCTGTCGCCGGATCTGCCGCCGCCCTCTAGAAGCAAGCGACCGTTCTCGATACCTGCTCGTCCAATAACAATCAATCTCGACGGGACGCATTTTCTGCATCCCCCTTTTCTCCTCTCTGGTTTCCTTTTTTGACTTGTCACTGCTTCGTCCTTCTCGCGGGTTGGAATCCTCTTTAGTCCTCCGCCATTCGCCTTATCCCGCCTCTCCGCCACTTCGTCCTGAAGCCCCCCCGACTGTCAACTCTCGTGACCGGCTCGTCTCACCAACTCGGTATCTCTCCTGTTCAAGAACAACGTCTTGACCAAGATGCCCGCCATGCCTAGCAATCGCAACTACGACTTCCTGGTACGACTTTCTTCTCTACCCC